AAAAAAAAAAAAAAAAAAAAAAAAGGCACTCCTCAATCCCCATGTCCCTTGGGTGGGTCAAAAATCTGTGCTGTTTTACAGTTTCTGCCTGAGTATCTCATTTGAGCTTAGTTTATTGAGTTTTTGCTTCCGTTAGCTGTCATTCGTGAATGTATATCAAATATAATATTCTTTGTTTTAGATTAGTTTTGCCTTTGAATTTTCCATATTTTTAATCCATGATTACTTTTTTGCTATAGATGGCAGTCCTGAAGTTCAACTATTCAGTGCAAGAGGAGGGTGACACTTGTCTGGGAGGCAGGTGGTCTTTTGATGATGTACCAATGAAGCCCTTGCGAACTGTGATGTTAATTCCAGGTGACAAGATGAGTGAAATCATGGATAAACTGAAAGAACACCTGTCGGTATAGCCCATTTCCTGTGGACAGTGCTGAACTTGTTTCTGTAAAGATATCAGAACACCCAGTGGAGATTTGCTGAAAAACTCATGACTTTATTCAGATTAAAGTCCTCTACAGAAAGTAGGGTTCTGTTCCATGTGTCTGACACATTTACAAAATGCCTGTTTAAAAAACAATTTTGGACAAATTATGAAGGGTGATTAAAAACTTCCAATAAGGAAAAAAAATGCAGTAAGAATTTAAAGGACTCAATAAAACTCTATTTTTAATTTTAAAATCCTGTACAAAGTGTTATTTCTTCAAGGCTCTCCTGTGGGTGTGGTACCCACCTCTGCATTAAATATTTGCACATTGCTCCAGCAGGCCCCACTGTTAGGTCACTTTGGGATCCTTATTGCATCTTGGCTTTAGTGGGCAGTCACTGAATAGTGCATCTCTGTTCAGTAGTTTCAGGGCACTTCTCACACGTTGTCTGTTCCTGTTTCATCGTTGAAACAGGAGACAAGCGATCCATTACTTGCTGTAGGATATCCTTGCTTTCACTAGGAGGCAGATTACTGAAATAGTATTGTGGTACCAGTTGCATAAATCTGTTCAAAACAAAAAGATTAAATGAGGGTAGGGGTGTGACAAACAGCTAACATTATGTCTGGGTTCTTCCCAGCCCTAGAGAATCTATTTACAGAAGTAGTGTTTAACTTCCCCCTATCTCGGTCTGCCTTTGAAGAATAGTTTTTGGTGTTCCTGTAGGCGATCCAGTTGTGCTTTTAGGATAAGTTGGCTTCCTCAGTATTGGAGTATATGGTGGAAGTATTTCTTACTGTTGACCATTGGTAGAACACTTCCTCTAGGTTCACCATAAGAGAACAATCAGATCATACGCTTGGGCGAGATTTACTTCTTCGTCATTTTAACTAGTACCACTCCCTATGCTGCTTCTGGGTACACTCTTGGTTGCTGCCTTCAACATCACTTTGCCCAAGAAGGGATGATGATGTCTTTGAAATGGATCCAGAATCCTCTTGAGAGGCTAGTCTCTGTCCTCGGCATCACTCCTTCTACCTATTTTCCACTCAGTTGCCTCATAAAAGTATCTAGAGATGTTCCTCTCACTTAAAACTCCAACTGCTCTTCTTTACTTAGGGTACAATCTAAACCTTTATTGTGGTCCAGAAAGCCCTACACCCTCTGGTACCCTCCTGTCTCTTCAAGCTCACCTTCCCTCTTTTGCCTTCCCCACTAGTTCCAGCCATAGTGTCTCTGTTCCCAAAGGTTCACTCTGCAAGGTCAGTGCACCTGAGAACAGTGTCTTCCCGGTAACATTTTATTCCTCTTAAGACAATGCAGTTTCATGTTTGTACTTTATCTTGTTAAGCTTAAAGGCAGGGATGTTTCTTAGGTATCATCCACAGAGACTTGCCCATAATAGGTACTATCTACGTAAAGATAGGTACCAGTATAAACTTAAAACTGAAAATGCGGTAAAAGCAAATTTTGTCATTTAGGGCCGGGGATTTAGCTCAGCGATTCGGTGGCCTGCCTCGCAAGCGCAAGGACCCGAGTTCAATCCCTGGTACCCAAAAAAAAAAAAAAAATTTGTCATTTACTCTTGTAAGTGTGAGTTCAGAAGAAACCTATTTCTTCATTAAACTTACAGTTCAGGAGAGACTGCAGTGGTGATCCTGATGTAGTTGTTCTCAGATACGCTGAACTGGTGGAAGAGGACCCACTCGGGCATTTTCTTGGTGATGGAATAACTAGACAGGGGATGCAGCTGAGCCACCTGCTTATGTGTCAGTATTAAGTAGTTACCTGACCCATCGACATCTCGAGCAATCTAAAAGAAGAAAAGATTTTGCATCTATGCAGAGATCAAAACACAAAAATGTTAAATTCCAAAGCATTTATATAGAGTAGTTAAAACTAAAATGTGGCATCTTTGTTGCTCTTTTTCAGGGGTAGAAAATAAGCCATAAATATGTTTTGCCCAAAACTTTGAAACAGAGATGTAACCAATAATTTCAGGGTCGTATGTTAAAACAGTGCAGGGATGAGGGGAATGTTGTAGTCATGAAATAAATTTAGTACACTAACCTGCTTATGGAATATGTCCCTCAATGTCAAGGCCTCATACTTGATGTTGTAGCTCACTTAACACCAAACTCTGACATAGGTACCTTACCTTTTCCTTACAGGTGAGGAAATTCATGCTGAAATAGCATTCTCCTCCATTAAGACTGTTGGAGTTTGTTATGTGGAAATACTAATAGTATTTCTCATACTATGATGTGAAGGGTGTCCCTACTTCTGTAATGTGTTTTACTTAACTTTCAATGCAGGAAAATCAAAATGAGAGTCTTTATTCCTGAGACAGTGTCAGTGACTAAACGAGATGAGAAACTGCATCTGATAACCATCTTCCCTTTTATACTGTAAATGTCTTTTGTCCTTTTGGATAAAGTCAACATGTTCTGGCTTGGCTCTGTACTCCTTTACGGGTAAATAAATACCAACTCTTTAGTAACATGTATTTTTAGTTTTTTTTAAAAGGTAAAGTCAACAAAGCCATCACCTATGAGAAAGATTGCTGGTAGAGTATCCTGAGTTTATGGAATTTGGTGCAGCCCCTGCCAAGAAAGCCCTGCACCTATTTACCTGCATAAAGTAACCAGACAACAGTGCTTTCTTGATGTTCAGATTGTTTTCCTTGGAGCCAAAAGCAGGTTCTGCATAGGGAAGCTCAATTCGCTTGATAATTTCTAAGAGTTCGGCTCGGATAACATCTGCCATCCTGAGAGCAGAATAGTTGAGGAAGTAATCATGACACCACTTTTCCACATAGTCTAAGAGGGAAAGAACAGAGGCTTCTTAGATATGATTCGTGTTAAACTTGAAAGAGGCAGGCAGGCAGGCACTGTAAGCCCTATGTTCTCTTCTAAGAAGGTCACATAAACAAGTAGAGTGGCAAGGAAAAGGCTCTGGTGGCTATTGGATAGGCTGCCTGTGGCAGTCCCAGGAAGGGGATGGTGCCAACGGAATCACCTACACCAGCTGGTTGAGGGTCTAGGATCCCATGCGCTAGGGAAACAGCATTTTCACATTGCTGATTAAAACTGTATTTCCCTTAATCTGTGGCAGTTAGGAGACAACATTGTGTTAAGATCTACATTTTTGGAGTATACAGTGAAGGTATACAGAGCTACAACATTCAAACCAGAAACGAAAAGTTTACAGTATAAATTCTAATACATGAAAGTATCTCATTTTTTAATGTGAGAAGGATTACTACCAGGCTGACTCAGGAGTTACTTATTTTATAGTTATGCTTATCTACGGTAGCCACATCTTTTAAAATTACAATCCACTAATCTGGTCCAGAAGTTAACTTTCTTGCCATTTGTAAATATTTAAGTTTTGCCTGGGAGTGCACATGGCCTGGCACAGTGGACAGAAGACACGTACCTCGCCCTGCTAGGACTATTTGGAGCAACAAGAGACTACTTGTTCAAACATTGTCACCCAGCCTGCTTGTTTTTAAAAAGACTTTCTTCTCAACTCTGAAACACTAACTCCCTGTTCTTTATGATTCTGCTGCCTTTCAAATTACTGTCATATTTTCTACATCATTTCAAGTATGTTTCACATCTTTAGAAGCAAAGGAGATAAAAAATGCTTTATGGAAAACAAAGGTGAGAAAAATCCTCCTTTTACAATTGTCAACTTTTAGTGGCTCCAACCTCTACTCTGCTGTTTTGCCCTCTCTGGCCCTCACACAGCAGCTTCTGGTTCACTTAGCACCGGCTGGCTGCCTGTAGGGCTAATGTATCCACTGTCACTCAGGCGCGCACAACCTTCTGCCTCTGCTTCTGCATGCTCCCTCTTGGGTTCCCCTCTGCTCTGGTCAGCTATGCTCCATTTGAATCCCTTCCAGCTTGAACTGCATGCACTACTCCCTTGGAGCTCGGGTACCCAGTGTTCCATATTCTTTTCATGTGGCAAGTGAAAATGATAGCTTGTAAAAGAACACAGCAGCGCTCTGACACACTGCTGGGCACTTGGAGATGTCTTCTCTTGTCTTCCTCCCCAATTTTGTGTGTTTCCCTATTGTCACGGCCCAAGCAAATCTAGTCTGAAAGCTGGCTTAGAGCAGCAAAGCTTTAGAAACAGGCTCACATGGCAGCACACTGGCACTCTGTGGGAGTAGGAGGATAAGTGTCTACAGCTCAGCAGGAACCTATTTTTTAGTGCTTCAACTGCCATTCCACTGAAATGGCCAACAGGGCTGGAGGAAAAGAGCGGTAATGAATGACAACTCAAACAGCCTAATTTGGGCAAAGAAAGTAGGATCAGGAGATAGTTTGTGAGAACAGATGCATTCACTTACGCTCACTGGTAGAGTTCAGAGTTATGTCTTGGTAGGCCTTATAAATGTTGATGAGGGTAAAGTGATCGCCTTCAGGATGTAGAAATGTCTTCCAACACATCAAGGCAGCCTCCTCAGCTCCATGAGGCAGATGTGGAAAGCAATTAGCTTTAGAATGCAAAAGTTCACATGGTCATCAATAATGAGGACATTCATCCTGGCACAGAGTACAGAGAGGAAGGGCACCAGTGTTTGTGGAACTGCTCCTGACTTCTTTGTATAAAATGCTATTATTGCTTTTAGAAGTCAAAGACATTTAGAATGACTCATCCTAATTCTCCTGTTATGTATGCTGCTTGGCTAAGGTCAGTGGAAGGTAGACAGCTCAGAGGCTCAGACAGAGCGAGGGTTACACCATTAGAAAGCAGTACAACATTCATGTGCTGCCACCTGAACACCTTAAAACAAACCAAGATGAATGAAGCTGCTGGAAATAAAAAACAGCCACAATTATTTGGGCAAGAATACTTCTAGTGGCACTTTTTCTTGATCTACACTGATCTTGTTAGCAAAAGTAAATTTGCTATGTTTTTGCATTCTTGATTAGGTAATTTACTAGATTAAGATTTTTCATATTAAAGTTATTTTATAATTTTTCTAATCCATTAAAATAGTATTTCAAAAGGTTAAATGAATTAATCACTGTCCCTGATATGTTCTGCTTAAAATATAATTTCAAATGGATCTCATTTAAATCTATACTTGGTGCAGATTCACAGTACAAAGAATAATCATCAAGGAATACCTGTTACCATAGCAGCAATGGTTAGCATCTCATCTACACAGTCAAATTCACAGGATGCTAAGATAGACTTTGACAGCTGCGGATCCAGAGGAAACTCTGACATGATGATTCCAAATTCAGAAAGATTCCCATCATTGTCCAGTGCTGCCAGATAATCCAGGTCTTCCAATGCCTGCATCAAACTTTCTGGTGCTGAAGAGGAAAACAAGATAATAAAAAGTCTTGTACAGTTGAGACGAAGTGATACATACAGTATTTTCTTTCCCACATAAAACAAGCAAACAATTGGCAAAATCTAGAAACAATAGTTTGCAAGCCACTGACCATCTAGGCAATGTGGAACAGCAATTCTTGTTGGGAAAACTGACAAGATGACCCTGTGGTTATCCAAGTAATCCCTTGAGAGAGTTTGTAGGCTACTGTGGGGGAGGGGCAGGCAGCTAGTACATGCCATGCTCACCACTTCCTTCCTGAGGCAGTGCTGAGGTGCCCAGAAGACTAGGGTGGCCATAACATGCGGGTCAGAGGGCCTGAGAGTTACAAAGAGATGGCACTGGAATCTGAGTGCTCCTGTGATGGGCAACAGAGCACCCACTCCAAACGTTTGTAAGGAACAGCATCTGGAAGTCAGCCAAGTTCCAGAGTAGGGCCTGCCACCACCAGCCAGCCAGAAAACCTGACTCACAGGCACAACTATGAGCACTGCTCTGGTGCCACCAGATACATCTACACAGCTAGTCCAGAAAGGCTCATACTGTACCTCAGAATACAGCGTCAGGCCATCGCTCAAGCGCCAGGAGGAAGCCTGGGCCCCGATCCACCGTGGGAAGGAGAACCACGCCTGCTCCCGACTCAGCCGCCATCACTCAAGTACCGGGAAGGTAGCCGCACGGGTGCCCCTGAACCCCGATAAGTCCCCCCCCACCCCCACACTCTCAGTCCTCCTGATTGAGCCAGTCTTTGGACCCACTCTGCAGAGGCAGAGGTGGTCATCAAGGGTATTTTTCTGAGTTCCCAACTTTGAACATCTTTAAAGAAAGGGCGTAGGAAACCTGTAATAGAACGTTGTGGAGTTCAACCATTCAGAAGGTTGGGGAACTCAGTCTGGGCCTTGCAGCCCGAGGTCAGTCAGTGTCATGGGGTTCAGCCATCAGCTAACTGAAATTAGGGGTCTTGCATCCTCACTCTGAGCCATTAAATGGTAAATACACTATATTGAAATTTTGTTCACTGCAGACATGTTCTGGATTGCTTCTTGATTTCAATTTAATTCAAATGATTTAAGGGTGATAGACTAGTGACTATTACCGGTGGTCAGTGTCCAAGTTGTGCTTGATCTTAATATGTTGCTGATTGTATCAGTTGGGGTAAAGCATTGCGGATGATTTGATGAGCTGTTTTCTCTGATGTTATGAAGATGAGAATGTCTGTGGGTCGTTAGAGACACAGAAGCTAGGGTGCAACTATATCAGGAACATTTGGGTGATAATCCAGAGATTAAACAAAGGACAGTCCAACAACAAAAATTAAAATGAGAAAACACTTAAGCAAGACACAAGGACAGACTTCCAGTTCACCAATGGCAAACAGTAGGGCAAATGAGGATGAAAATGCCGATAGTGAACCACCAGGACAACCTGAACTCAAAGCACAGGAAGTAACAAAACAGATCAATCAGGCTCTAGAAAAATTCAAAACAGAAATAATTTCCCAGATAATCATAGAGATGGTGAGCAAAATGAAAGTCATGATTCAAGACTCTAGAATAGAAACTGACAAAAAAATACATGAGCTCAGGACCACGATAGAAGCCGTGAAGGCCCAGCATAAGAAAGAAATGGAAACAATGAATGACCAACATAGGAAAGAAATGGAATCCATAAAACACATTCAAACAGATATCCAGGAGATTAAACACTCTAATGAAAGTGTACACAACAGAATAAAAAAATGCAAAGATAGGCTCTCAGATATAGAAAATAAGATTGCAGTCAGTGACCATGAAAAGAGAGGTCTCTTAAAAACAGTAAGAGATCATGAGAAATCGATCCAACAACTCCTAGATGATGCAAAGAAGAATAACATAAGACTGATAGGAAT